GCATACTATTGTATAATACGATTTATTTTCTACTAATACCTATGGTAGAAAATAGCAAAACTTTGTAATTATTTTATATTAAGTTAGTATTAAAATATTAATAACATTATTTTTCACTCTTCATTAAATTATATTAAATTATATGCATATAACATTATGCACATAACATAATATATTTATATATATAAATGCTTGTTATAATATATTTATTAATCATTTTAATAATAACAATATTGATATACAAAGATTTATTGTGTAAAATGTAATTTCATTTCATAAATATAATATTTATTCCAAGATTGGATAGCAGAAGGAAAATAATAAACGAGTAATAAATAATAACTTCATTTAGTTTATCAGCTACTGTTACTATACTTAAACACTTTTCATATTTTTTTCCATATTTTTTTATATTAAACATATTCTTCTACATTCGTTATATATTTCTATGTATTGCTTCTATGTATTCATATTTATATTTTCCAATATCCCGTGGAATTCAGTGTGTCTAACCATAAGCTAAATTTCACTCGTATACAAATGATACATTCCGTACTGCTCCCTTTTTTTTGAGTTTTAATCTTTTCGAAGAAGCCGAAACACGTTACTGCAGAGAAATTTTGTAATATCGACGATAAGCTATAACTCTATTCCCGCACGTTCGTCTGAAATACCAGCTCCATCGTGGCAAGATCTGGTTCGTTTCACCCCCTTCAACCCTAAGCTCTGTAACGAGATAGATCATTTGGGCGCTTATAGTTTCAACCCTACGAGCAGACGGATACCGTTCAACTTTCCACTTGCGAATAAACCTACAGTATCTTGTCTAGCGACGGGATTTCATACCAAGTCGTGTCCAAATTTGCAGAATTTTTGTATTTTCGTCTGTATAATTATTTCGAATTTTTTTTTTTCTTGTTAAAAAGAGAACGACGTCCAAGGTTTTATAAATACATGGTAATTACGTTTTTCGGGAGATAAAATTATCTCAACACTTTTGTTTTCTCTCCATTGTTCTAGAAATTTCTCTATCACGTACACAGAAAGCAATGTTTGAATCTATTACGTCAAAAGTCACGCTGATCAACTCCACTGTCTAAAGTTTCTAATTTATTATCTTTATTATCATTAGAATGTGTAGGTTGTGTAGTATCCTTTGCATTTCTTTAGAAAGTATCAAAGATCCTTATTCACGTAAGACATAATTATTAATCATTAACAACGCGTGTGTTATTGTAAAAAAGAATCCCATACATATTTCAATGATCGCTCGCGAACAAAACTTTTTTCCCAAATATTGAAATCATTGATAACTGAATTTTAAAACACTTACGATATTCTATTTTTCTATTAAACAATTACAATCGTCCATTGCATCTGTCACAATTGTAATATTTCTCAAAGTACCTGCACCCAAGACACCCTCCTGCAAGCTTATTAAATAATCTAACACTTATCAATCATGATCGATTCTCTTTAAGAGCGATTCGTTTAAGCTTCTCGGAAGAAAGCTATCCCCTATTTTACAACAATTTCCACCTTCCAACAGTGAAACAAAACGAAAGCCTACCTCCGTCACATGCGCAGAGAATGTTTTCGAGTTCGACAAACGACAGGATCATTAGGGGATTCGTCGGAGAGAGTTCGGCGCGCATCGGTTCTACCAGGGAATATTCAAGGAGGCAGGGTGTCGCAGGAATCCTGACGAGAGACACTTCTCTTACATTCTTCATCCTAGCTTATGTTAATTCCACGCTCGACGAAAACAATTGAGAGCTAATCCCAGACAAATGACTGACGCGCTTCCGTGAGCTCGAGGGTGGATTCGCCTCCCTCGCGCGTTGTCGAATAGAAAATTCGGGTATTTCATGGTTTCGAACGATCCCCCACCCCCCTCCCTCCACTTTCCAGCCCTAATTCCGCCTTTAAATCCATTCTGCCGTACGATTTGCGATTACAATACAAAATAAACTAGCTTAACTGCGATAAGGATATTGTCAGTCACTGATATAATCGAAATGTAATGAATAACTATGTGACTTATTTTTATCGGGGATGTTTAAATTACTGAATGCGATCAGTTGTTAATTGCGAGATCTGTCTGTTCTGAAATTCATTCAACTATCCCCCTTGCGATTTCGATAGGAAATAAATTACCTTAGACTACTCGTCAGGAATATAAAAAGTATATAAAATACTTAAATGATACGTTTCCGTTGATAATTAATTCTCCACTGGATAATTGAAATGTTGATAAAGGAATAAGTATGATTTCTTTCGTCAAATCCAATCATTTTTACTATGAATTTACATCAGCACCTACAGTCTAATCTAATTAATTAATAATTGAAATCAATAATTAAAAATATTTCATGATTATTTTAATATATTTAATATACTCACTGTGACACCATAATCTCTCAAAAAATACTCTATTACCATTTTTACAATAATCATCCATGAAATACTATTTCTAATAAAATAAGAAACACGCTAAAACAATGTGTAATTCTAACTTAATATCAGATATACCCAACCTGTCGCAGTGACCTTCCACCTCGCGGAGAGTCCAATATTCACGATACTCTAATAATGAAATGGAACAAAACAGGATGGAAATAAAAGAAAACAAATAATCAAAAAGAGAGTCCCAACGACAGAGGCCTACCTCAACGTCCAACCCACCCTCCACACGAAAAGAAGAATCACGAGAGAGATTTGTTCGAACTAGGTCAAAAGGAGTTATCCAACCCTAATAACGTTAATTAAAATCCAAGTGAAACCTCAATTAATATCGGCCGTCCCTGTTTCCAGGGGCGTCGGCTCTTTTCAAGCCCCTTTTCCACGCGAAAACGAGCCGGTCTCCTCCAACGGTTGGGGGACGAGGCTCGTAAGAAGGAAAGTAAAGAGGAGGTTGCTCGGCGGCGGTGAGGACAAATAAAACCCATTACCCATCCCCAAAGACGGTCGTCGTCGTCGTCGTCGTCGTCG